AACAACAACAACAACAACTTCCCTCTACTAGGAATATAACATAAACAAGCCAGAGCCTCGACACAAATGGTTATATGCACACCCATATTTATTTCAACCCAAATGATCATCAAGAAACAAATGGATATAAAACTGTGGTACATCCATACAGTGGATTAGTAGACAACACTTAAAAACAAAGATCATGTGAAACACAACACAACATGGAAGTCTACGAGACATTATACATTATACAATTACAAAAGAAAAATATTGCATAAGGCCATTGTTATAAAAATAGGGTGAACATGGAAGCTGGAAGGACAGCAGGAAAAGAAGAGATAGAGAGAAAAGACAACACTGAAATAGGTGGAGAGAAGGTCTAGTTGGAAGGAATGGATGAATAGACAGTATGTCCGTGACAATTTACAATCTGGACTAAGACACACATTACAAAATGAATTGGAGGGGAGGGAGGGAGGAAAATATGCATCAATGAATGAATGAAAACCTATCTTTTGTGCACGCTTTCACTAAAATTGTAATTAAAAATTATAAAAAAGTTTAAGAAAAGAGAAAAAAAAACCCCACCCAACAATAACCAGCATGCTATCCAGATGTATGCTGTAGAGGGAGACCTATGCAAGAATATTCCAGGCATATGTAGAAGAAAAGTCATTTCCCTATTTTTGGGCTATTTTTCTCATATATGTGAGTTCTGATAAATTTAAGATCTTCAGCATAAGCTCATGAATTATAAAGGACCTAAAACCGACTACTCATATTTTACCAAAATTCCATTTTAATGAGTAGTTTTCAATGTTGATTTCGCACAAGTACTTGTGGGATATTTTTAAAAATGTAGATCACAGGTACCTTCTCCTAAATAAGTAAGAACCACTCGTGATGGCACTGATTTAGCACAAGTCTGAAAATTTTCCAAGATTACTAGATATTTGCAATAGAAAGGCAAAGCTGAGGACCTGTAACAAGTAATTTCATACTTAAGTATATGTAATAAACATATGGAAAACAGAAGGGAATTATGGGAATAGTATAATATTTTTGGTTTTGATTTTAGGGTCTTTTTTTCTCTTATACATTGTATTTCATACACTTGAGAGTTATACATTTCCTTATCATGGATGCTTTTGTCTTACATGACAAAAACGAAATCTTTTTAAGGTATGAGGTATTGGAATACTCATACTGCTTGTAGGAATGTAAAAGAGTGTACGCACTATGGAAAACAATTTGATACTTTCTTAAAAGAAAATAGAAATGCCGTTTGATCCAGAAATTAATTATATATATATATAGTTGTTATGTGCCGCCAAGTCACCTGCAACTCCTAGAGGGACAACAGCCCTAAACCGTGCTCTGTCCTGTGCCAATCTCACTGTCTCCAACACACCTACCTCCATTACCCCAGTCACTGAATTAATCCACCTCAATGAGGGTCTTCCTCTCCTGCACTGCCCCTATACCCTCCCAAGCATGAAGTCCTTCTCCAAGGACTGGTCCTTCCTTGAAACATGTCCAAAGAATGTTGTACAAAGCCTCAGAATCCTTGCCTCCAAGGAGCAGTCTGGTTTAACTCTCTCCAGGAAGAACCTTTTCTTTTTCTTAGTATTCCATGGTACATTCAATACTCTTCTCCAGCACCACAGCTCAAAGGCTTCAATTCTCCTTCTACCCTCCCTAGTCATTGTCCAGCTCTCTGATGCATAGCATGTGATTGCAAAGACCATGGCTGGTATCAGGTACACCTTAGTCTCTAGAGTGACACCATTGCTCTTCAATACTTTGGAGAGGTCCCTAACAGCAGACTTTCCCATAACAATACACCTTTTAATTTCCTGGCTGCTGGAGCCAAGAATGTTGAGATTATATATATGAAATAACAGCCTAATATGAACTGATACATGCACACCCATGTTTATTTTACAGCATTATTTACAATACCAAAGAGATGGAAACAACCCAAACATCCTTTAAGAGACAATTGCCTAAAGAAACTCTGATACATTCACACAGCAGAGTACGATGCAACTCTAAAGTGCTGTAAATAATTTGAGAAGCAATGAAGCATAAAAGAACCTTGGGGACATTATACTGAATGAAATGTCAGTCACCAAAGGAAGAATATACATAAGAGCAGTTAAATAAAAATGAAGGAAAGGTTTAATGCATGTAAAATCATATTTGAATGGTTCTCTGCGATGAGATAGGAGAGATGGTAGTTGTTGTTAGGTGCCATCGAGGCACTATGACTCACAGTGACCTGTGAACAGCAGATCTGAACCTTGTCCTGTCCGACGCCCTCCTCACAATCTCTGTCACGCCCATGCCCATTGTGTAGTCATGTGTCAATCCACCTTGTTGAGACTCTTCTCTATTGCTGACTCTCCACTTTTCTCAGCATGATCTTTCTCCTAGTGAGAACTGGTTCCTCCTGAGTAAATTCTTGAGCAAAAGTAAGTGAGAAGAAGCTTCTCTTTGCCGCTAAGGAGTACCCTGATGGCACTTCCTCCAAGACTTTTTCAATTTTTTGGCAGTCCAGAGATGTTCAATACTCTTCCCCAACATCACAAAACAAAGGCATAATTTATTCTTTGGTCTCATCTATTAATCGTTGATGTGAATGCATAGGAAACAATTGAAAAGACTGTATATTGAATCCACTGCACCTTAGTCTTTAAGCTGATATCCTTGCTCTTCTGCCTTTTGGAGAGGTACTTGACAGCAAGTTCTCCAATGCAGCCGTCTCTTAAATTCATGACTGCTGTTGCCATGGATGTTGATTTTGGATGCAAATAAAATACAATAGGTGACAACTTTTATCTTTTCTACAACTATCTCAATGTTTCCTATTGGTCTAGTCATGAAGATTTTAATTTTCTGTATATTAAGGCATAATCCATATTGCAGATTTAAGTCACTTCAATGTGGATTATCTTCTGCACTAATGTCTCAACCCTTCTTCATGTTCTGCATGCAAAGTTGTGTCATCTGCATAGGTTGTTGATGAGTTTTCCTCCAATCTTGATGCACATTATTCTTAATACATACATCCACCCTGTCGAATGGTTTTACTCATCATATCGATTGAACAGGTATGAGGGAAATTATACCTCTCTGACATGCACCTTTCTTGATTTTAAACCACCAAGTGTTCCGTCATTCTGTTTGTACAACTGTTCATGTGGAATAAAAGTGGTTAAAAATAAAATAATATAGACACTTCTTTAAATAGGTGAAAAGAAAGACAATACACAAAACGGTGGAAGTAAGGGAGTTTGGTGGCCTTTTGGTGTGAGAAGCTGCACTGCAATCCCAGAGGTACATGGTTCGAATCCATCACTTGGTCTGCTGGAGAATGAGAGGCAATCTCCTCCTGTACCAGTCAGATCTGATTTTATGGTACACACACACAAATAATAAAAATTTTTAAAAGGAGGAAATAAGGCATAGCTGGAATTGTATTAAAAAGAAACTGTTCTACTGAGGAGCATCTGCAGGGCCCTCTTGATGTCCCTGTTCCTCAGGCTGTAGATGAAGGGGTTCAGCATGGGGGTGACCATAGTGTACATCACCGAGGCCACTGCACCTCTCCTGAGAGAAGGAGAGAGAACTGAACTGAGGTACACTCCAACTCCTGTTCCATAGAACAAGCAAACAACTGACAGGTGGGAGCCACAGGTAGAAAAAACTTTGTATTTTCCCCCTGAGGATGGAACACTTAGAATGGAGAAAGCAATCCTTACATAAGAAAGGAGGATTAATGAGACTGGAACTCCACCAAAGACAGCACCCATGCAATACACTAATATGGCTTTGGTTGAGGTGAATGAACAGGCCAGGCTGAAGAGTTGTGGAGGGTCACAAAAATAATTGGGAATTTCCACATCAGTGCAGAAGTGAAGATGTGACACCATCAAGCATTGTAACTGGGACTCCAAAAGACTGATGAAAATGGTTATCAAAAGCAGCAGACCGCAGACACAGGGGTTCATAACTGTTTGATAGTGCAGGGGGCGACAAATAGCCACGTATCTGTCATAGGCCATTGCGGTGAGGAGCAGACTGTCCATACATCCAAACAAATGTAAGAAAGACAACTGGAACAGGCAGTCTACATAGGAGATGATATTGTTGCGTGTGTGGATGACATTCAGCGTCTTTGGGACTATGGTGGAGGTGAAAGCGATGTCAGCAAGGGACAGGTTACCCAGGAAAAAGTACATGGGTGTGTGAAGGTTGCTGTCCCGGCTGATGGCCAGGATAATGAGCAGGTTCCCAAGCACTGTCACCAGGTACATGAACAAGAATATTCCAAAGAGAGGGTACTGCAGATCTGGATCGTCGGAGAGGCCCATGAGGAGGAATACGGGGGCACGTGATATATTTTGTGGTTCCATGTAGGACAGACACCTTGAGGACAAGAGATGAAAAGCTCAGAAAATTAAATGTATTAGTGGAAAAGCAGGTAGGTTTTTATATTTTTATACTGGAGATTCAAAAGTTAAACATTCATATTTGTGTATCATATGTCACCAATTGCAGTATTTCTTTTTCGAGCAAAACCATTCTTCTCAGAACTCTTTTTTATTTACTTTATGTAACCTGTGTTTCCAGTCCATGGTCTTCGCAGTCCCTTGTTATGCATCAGAGAGCTGGACAATGACTAAGGATGACAGAAGAAGAATTGAATTGCGGTGCTAGAAAAGAGTGTTGAATATACCTTGGACCATCAAGAAAACAAATTGGTCTGTCTTGGAGAGGGTAAAACCAAGCTTCTCCTTGGAGGCTAGGAATTTGAAGGTACAACTCATATACTTTGGGCATGTGGCCAAGAGGGACCAATTCTTGGAGAAGGATATCATGCCCAGAAGGGTGGAGGGACAGTGCAGGAGAGGAAGACCCTGGATGAGATGGATTGATAGAGTAATTGGGTCAATGGGGATATGTATCAGAAATAGTGAGTCTGGCCCAGGACAGGGCAGGTTTCAGAGCAGTTGTACATAGGGTCACTGTGAGTCATAGGCGACTCGACGGCACGTAACAACAACCGCCTGAGTTATGTATACCTATAAAGAGATGATTTAGAATATTAGAGTAGAAAAGATATTCTGTGTTGTTGTTTTTCATTCCATTGAATTGGCTCTGGCTCATGGTGACCCAGTGAACACAAGTAGATAATTATTAATTCTGAACCAACTCAACAATTTCTGCTGTGTTTAAACCCATTGTGCAGTCCCTGTGTTAGTTGATTTCATTGAGATTCATCCTATTGTTTTTTTCTTTGCTGACTCTCTACCTTACTGAACTTAGCTTGTGTCACCAGAGATAGGCCTATCATGATAACACGCCCAGTGTTGTCCAGACTCTCACCATCCTCATATCCATGGAGCATGATGGCTGCACTTCCTCCATGAAAGATTTCTTAGTTCTTTTAATAGTCCCCATAACAGTAAATATTGTTTACTACCAACACTACTTAAAGCATGCATTATTCTTCAGTCTCCTTTAATAATTAACCAACTTTCACATGTATATTGGGAGGCTGAAAACAGCAAGTCTTGTCTCAGACTCACCTTAGTCTTTAAGATGATGTTCTTTCTCTTTAGCACTTTGAAATGGTTCTTGGCAGTGTGTTGGTCATTTGCAATGCAGTTTTTGTGAGTTTTGAATGATATTCCCATGAGTATTGATTGCACATTCAATCTACAATAAAAGATTGATTGATTGATTGATTTTCTATAACCTTTCTTTTAAAGGATACCTCTCAAAGTAAAGAAAACAAATATCCTCCAAACTATATAAACATCTTTATAAACAGAGAAAAATGGAAGTTCTTAAGAATTTCATTTTCATTGTTGTTGGTGTTGGTGTTGTGTACTGTAGAGTCAGAACCAACCTATAGTTGTCCTGGTAGTGGTGGTGGGGGGGGGAGGTTTGAGAGGCATTTAATTGCATGGGAGAGGTTTGATCATTCTTCTTCTGTGGAGCAGCAGCTGGTGGTCTCGAACCATCTGCCTTAAGGATTGCATTAGATCCACAATTAAAATCCATGGTAGTTACTACTACCATGAAGTCAAGAAGACAATGTGTTGCATTGGTCAGGGAGCTATCAAGGACCTCTTTAAAAATCTAACAAGCAAAGATGCATTTTGATGACTAAGGAGTAGGTGGTTTAAGTGAGAGTTTTTTAAAAAAACCTCAATTTATATGAAAATTGTACAATTGAATAAGGAAGACTAAAATGCCTTTGAATTGTGGTGTTGGTTAAGATTACAGCACATAGCATGACTGCTTTATAAAATAGAAAGTAACTTAAAAAGAGAAAGATCCTCAGTAAGACGGGAGAATAAGCTAAAAGGGAAGAGAATGTGAGGATGTTGCAGCATTCAACAGATGAGTGGATAGTAAGAGATTATTACCATACAACAACGACAACATTCACATACAAAGGAAGATTCCTCATAGATAATGAGAAACAAAATTCCAACTGATGATGAAACTTCAAAATGTTACGCTAAGTAGACTCAATTAATCATAAATGAGCAAATAGTAAATTATCTCACTTATATGCAATGATTGTTGTTGTTGTTGGTATGTACCATAGTAGAGTTAGAACCAACCCAAACCTGACCCTCCAGTGGGTTTTCAGAGACAGTTAACCACATGGGAGGAGATTGCCCATTCTTCTCCTGCAGAGCAGTTGGTGACCTCGAACACCATGCCTTTGGGATTGCAGAGCTACTTCTTCTCACTAGGCTACCAGATTTCCCTAGTAAAGGGAAATACATAGAGATGAAGCTAATTTGTGGTTATAAGGAGTGAGGGGAGGGGGTTAAAAGGGTCTACCTATAGGAAGCAATGACCTTTTCTTTATGCTGATGGAAATTTTGGTAACAATTATGATTATAAGACGTAATTGATGTCATTGATATTACTGAATTTTACATGTGAAAGCTTTGCATTGGCACAATTGTTTTACTTATTTCTTAAAAGATAATATTTCTTTTCAACATTTACTTATTTTATTTCTTTCTTTAAAAAATATCTAAGAATAAGAATAAATATTCTTAACCTTTCACTGAAAACCATATATTCCCAATTAAGGACGTGGTTGTTGTTGTCATTGAGTGCCATGAACTCACAGCATCCCAGTAAACAACAGGTCTCACCTTACACCTGCACCATCTTCATAATTGCTAATATTCTCAAGCCCACTGTAACAGTCATTGAATTCAAACTGTGCACCTTTGGGATTGCAGTGCAGTTCCTTGTCACTAGGCCACCAGAGCTCCCCTCGTGTCAATCCATCCTGTTGAGGGTCTTCATCTCCCCTCTGATCCTCCACTTATCCCAGGAGGATGTCATTTCACAAAGATTAGCCTCTCCTAGCAACAAATCAGAAGTATGAGAGACGAAGCTTCACCATCTTAGCCTACAAAGAGCACTCTGGTTACACCTTTCCCCAGACATATCTTTTCTTTTGGCAGTTCATGGGACATTCAGCAATCTTCTTCAACATCACAACTCAGAGGTCTCAATTCTTCTGTCATTCTTATGTGTTGTCCAAATTTTAGATGCATAGCAAATAACTGAAAAGACCATGGCCTGAATAAGGAGATGCACCTTAGTTTTCATCATCACTTGTCAGTATTTTGGAGAAGTCCCTGACATCAGACTTGCCCATAGCAATACATCTCATGATCTTCTTACTGCTGATACCAAGAATGCTTGTTGTGGATCCAAGCAAGAGAGAATCATTGACAGTTTCAATCCTATCAGCATCTATCATTATGTTGTCTATTGGCCCCATGGCAAGGACCTGTTTTCCTGATGGTGAGATGTAATCCATATCGAAGGTTGCAGTCTTTGATCCTCTGTAGGAAGTATTTCAGGTCACTCTCCATTTCAGAAAGCAAGGTTGTGCCATCTGTATAACATAGATTGTTGATGATTCATTCTTATTCACGAGTCCAGCTCCATAAATTATTTGTTTAGCATACTGATTGAATAGGTGAGGAGAAAGGACACAACCCTCACACAAACCCTTCCTAATTTTAAACCACGTAGTGTACACCAAATGAAAAGAATTGACATGATAACTGGGGTGATGGGATTAGATGTGTCAGAATCAGTGAGACTGTCTCAGGACAGGGCAAGTTTCAGAGATGTTGTCATAGGGTCACTATGGGTCACAGGTGACTCAACAGCACATACCAACGACAACAAGGACAACAACAACAAGTGTTGTCTTTCTCTGTTTAGACAACAGCTTCTTGATATTAATACTTCTTAAAATCGTAATCTTATTCTATAATTTCAGATTAACTCACCAAAATCCAAGAGGCGTAATTGCTACTTTTTCAATTTTATCATTTTGAGTCAGAATAGCTGTGAAAAGAAAAAGAAAACATTCAATCTAGTAGAGTGGCTAGAACCTGGGTGGAAGTCAGGAGAACAAGATCAAAGTCTGTCTTGCACTAGAAGTTTGGCACGTTTTAAACATTTATTTGTGGGTTTTTTAATTATAAGTTTGAATAATTATTGGGTAGTAAATTTAGTGGTGATATACATTACTATCTTTAATAAATATGAAATAAGTTACGTGAAAAGATACTGATGAGTCTACCTATCTCAAGAAATCAAGTATAAATAAATTTAAGTAATGTGTCTCAGAACACACATTCTCTTTTATTCTTTATTTTTATAATATACTTTATAAAGATTTTCTAGTTATCAACTACGATGTTGCAAATTTTTTAAATTAAAACACAGTACATAGAACATCCACGAAATTGACACACATAAGACCAAATTCATATTATTTACCTACACAAACAGACACCATTAATAAGATTCTCAGTGGTATGGAGTTTAATTATTAACCCAAAGACAAGTGGTTCAAATCTATCAGCTGCTCTGCCGGAGAAAGAGGGGCAGTCTCCTCTTCATCAAAACACAGTGTCTGAAAACTCATTGAAGGATCAGCTATGTTCTGACTCAACAGCACAAAACAACATCTGTGGATTTTTAAGCTCTCAATCCAGTTTGCCACCCATCAATCCTAGAGACACCATGACAGAAATAACTGAGTCTACTTTATGTCTGTAGTCTTGCTGGACATCTTACAAGGAATAACCCTGAATCAGAAAGTACATGAAAAGGGGTGTACTGGCTATGTATTGACCATGTGAATGAAAAAAAGGTAATGAATATTTAAAACAATGGTTTTGTAATACTGTAATCTACTGTGCCAGTTAGGAAGTAATAAATGATCATTTCCTTATAAGCACTCCACCTTGAGGGATGAAGTAGAAAGCAGCCATTGCATTGACAGCTTAGGAGACTGGCCAAGTCCATGAATGGAGTCTCAATGCTCTGATTCAAAATTATAGTCAATCAATTTTACGTCAGAACTTGATTTTTAAAACTAAGAAAATGCTTACCCAAAGAAATGTCATTCTTAGAGGGTCAACAGAGATGACAATTGAAGGAGATGGAAACAAAATCAAAACAGATTCGCTGTATTTTTCTAACTATATAAAAGTATATGATTGAAAGATAGATGATACATCAATATTTTTAAAAGATAAATACAAATCCCTAGTATTTTCATCTGTATTGTCTAGCTATTAAGAGAGTAGGAGAGTGGGAATGAAAAAGAAAATTCAATAAAACCATACATAAGGTTTTATTAACCTTCACCTGTCAAATAGCAATAAGGTTTATATTTTTGGAGTGATTGTGCTAACCTTAGTCCATTGTTCAGGGTTTAGGATCAGTACACCCTCTACACTTCCTGGTGTCATGAATAACTATTATTGTCATCATCAGGGTCCTCTGGTGGCTTAGTGGTAAGAAGTTGTGCTGCCATCCCATAGGCTCAAGGTTGGAATCCACTGGCTGCCCTGCAGGACGAACACAGGCAGTCTCCTCCTTTGTGATTTACATCCTCTTAAAGCCCGTGGGAGGTCAGCTAGGAGTTGGTTCCAACACAGTGGTACACCACAACAACAACAACAACAACAACAACTGTTGTCACCAGCAACATTATGAGAAACTTCAGTTTTGCAGTTATTTAAGAATGTTAAAGGATAATTTAGAGTTCATTGTTGCTGCAAAAAGTGAATGATTTGGTGGCTAAGCAAAAGTGTAGTGATTCTGACTCCCTCAGAGATGCCACAGAATAAAATCATTGGGATTTGCTTTTTAAAGCTCACAGTCATGAAAAAGCTATGTGGTGTATTTCTTCTCTGTAACATATGAGATTACTATGAGTCAAAATTGAGTTTGTCACAATGGGTTTTGTATTTCAAAACAAACAAACAAATTAGCTACAACTCCTATAGACCCCATTTGTACCATAGTGTTGGTCTTCATAGAGATTACTAGGTCATTATTTGAATATGTAAGCTACTCTTATAGGGCATGCTAGTGTAAATAGAAATCTCAAATTTTCTATTTGGTTCCAATGGAGCCTCAACCATTTGCTCCAGCCAGGGACTCCAGCCACAAATAGAGAAACTCAGTTCTACTCCATTGAGACAATATCCAGATAGACTGATTTCCTATTCTGTTGAGGCAATATGTATAGAAGCTAGAAAAGTCGAGGAGAAAAGAACCCTGAATAAGAGCTTTCAGATGCCTATCAGCACAAAGAATTTCAAAATCACCGACCTGTGGCTGGAAATGTCAATTCCACACCCTTCTTTCTTGTTATCCTGACTGACTGTGGTCCTGATGATGAAAAACAACACTCCCTCATTCCCTTCTCCCTCTGTTCTCACAGGCTGCAGGAGATCTCTGAAGGGGTAATGCCATGGAATGTGGATCCACTGTTCCCTTTTCCCTGCTGGACATTGAGAGATGAGGCTTCATTCTTAGGATGGACAGAAAGACAGAACTGAGAATGGACATTCTGATGTGGATGAGAATTCTGGAAGAGGCATGAGTTTATAGACTCCTGGACTGGGATGGGCTGTCAGAAAGGCTGGAGACACAATTTAGCAATTTATCATCACAGGGCTTTGAGAATACAATTCACACAGCTAATAATTACCCTAATTGATAATGAGTCGTCTCAACTTCTGATGGTTTGTTAACATATGAGAAAGGGAGGGGGGAAAGAATGTTCTGGAATATTCAAAGTCCCTCCTTTTTTTCAGGAGGAACACATGTATATTCTCACTTTTCTATTATGAAATTAGACAAAAGAGAAAACAAGGAAAGAAAACTAATTGTATTCAATCATTTCTGACCAGTGTCAAGGTCATGTGTTACAGGGTAAAAGTGTGTCCCTTGGGTTTATCTTGGCAGCAATCTTTATTGAGGCACATGGCCAGGTCTTTCTTTCATGGTGCAACTCGTTTAGTTTGAATACGTAACTTTTAGATTGTTGTTGTTATATGTC